AACCCTCCCCCCCCAATTTCTTTCCAACTTTTTGCAAACGCAGAGTTAATCCTTTGTTTGAAAACTAATTAAATGAAACGGAAGGAAAGGAGATGAAAACATAGAAGCTGAAGGAAGGGTTAAAATCAAAATACTTTCTTTGTTTCGTATGATTTCTACAGTAAAACGAATAACAAAATTGAAAACTTCAAAATAGAGAGCTTATAACAACAACAACCCAGTGAGTTCCCACAAGTGGGATCTGGGGAGGATAAAATGTACGCAGACCTTACCCCTACCCCAGAGGGTAGAGAAGCTATTTCCGAAAGATCCTCAGCTCAAGAAAACGAAGAGAGACAGAATGTTAGTACCATCAACAAAACCATATGAGCAATAACAACAGCATAAGAACCAGAAAATAGATGAAAAATAATAACAAAATCCAGTGAATAAAGCTCGATACTATCAAAAACGAAAGAATAGTGTGGACACAACAATAATCGGTAGCAGCCTAGGACCCAACCTTATCAGACCAACCTCCCCACGGATGAACCTTATCAGCTACCTCCTATCCTATCACCCTAATGCTCGACCTCCACACCTTCCTATCAAAGGCCATGTTCTCGAAAATCTGAAGTCACGCCATGTCCCGCCTGATCACTTTCTGATAAAATAAAAATAAAAATAAAAAGAATTGAAACTTCAGGACTTCTTCCTTTCACTGGTTTCCAACTATAGTTTCCTAGCAATAGCGGCTGAATTACAAGCCATATTTGCCACAATTTTTACTTGCAATAGGCTTTTAAATTACCTGACAATATAAATATTATGCATATCGTCAATGCATAAAATTTAATACTCTTATTGATGCTATGTGGTTATTTAAGGTACCGCGAAGGTATCAAGCAAATATACAGAGGTCGAATCGCACCCAAAAAGAAACAAATTGTGGCAATCCTCTCACTGCAATTTCACTATAGCAAGTGCGAACACATGGCATCCAAATAACAAAGAATAAAAAAGAAATAGGAAGAATGTTCCTTTAGACATTGGAAAGAATCATTGATGAAACAAAGCATTTACTATACAAATTTCTGAAGAAAGTGCGTATCTCATTTGAGAAATGTTCTAAATACACACGAAATATAAGCTATGTTGTCATCCAAAGTAGTCCGGCAAATTGGATTCTTTATAGATAGTCATCCTTTTTTGCAGCCTACATGTGAAGATCATGGGCCATGGCTGCAAGACTTCAAAGTTCCTAGATTGTCCATATTCACATATTCTTCCTGTCAGACCAAAAGGGCAGCCCGGTGCACTAAGTTCCCGCTATGCGCGGGGTCCGGGGAAGGGCCGGATCACAAGGGTCTATTGAACGCAGTCTTACCCTACATTTCTGCAAGAGGCTGTTTCCACAGCTTGAACCCGTGACACTTCGATTAAGGTAGTCAATTGACCACCCTTTGTCGGGAAGTTTTTTACTTCTTTCAGGTTCGAACACCCTTGAGGAAATTTTTTGCTTCGCCACTGGGTCACATGGCAGCAACTTTACCAGTTACGCCAAGGCTCCCTTGCTTCCCGTCAAAAACAATAACACATATAAGAAGGAAAACGTTGGCTGTTCATTAGAATATTATGTTACTCTTCTTGCTGCACTGGAAAAGTTAAATCTTCTCCGGTTCCTAATTTTCAATCAAATAAGCTCTTGGAATTTCTCCCACAAACAGTTTATATGTCTCCAAAAATCACATCCATGTGCTGCACTTAATATTTAGTTGTGTCCCCATAATTCTGAAACCCATATTTTAACTTGATTACAGCTTTCCACTGCTCCCTTTTACTGTCATTCCACCTCAACAACCATTTGAATTATAGGCTCTTATTATGGAGCCCTCAATTTCTCACACCTAATCCTCCATCTTCCTTGCATAGCTTCACCTTTTCCCGACTGTCGGTAGAAAAAATCCGTTTGCGCCAATATAATAAATTCTGAATCTCACAAATGTGATGACCTCCATCTTATCTCCAAAGCATCTTCTACTTCATTCCAGCCAAATAGTCCATGCTACACATAAAGGAACTAACCCTCAAGATCCGCTTAAATCTCTTATCTATGCTCTGTGAATGCTAAATAGTAAGTAATTCTCTGAAGCTCTGAGGCATTACCTAATTAATACTAAATACATTCAGAAATAGAGGCCAAACCTGGCATAAAAAGTTGAAATGCAGCAGTATGTGGCTCCCTGTTTCAACTGAAATTTCACTCAAATTGTCGTCTCTTTTGTATCATGCCATGTGTTAAACAGGCCCCAGGAGCAGCAAGCCACCAAAAACAGGCAGCTTTCAGTGGAGCAATAGTCTTCCAAACTGATTTCCATAGCCGCAGCTGTTCATACTCGTAACTCTGTTGTTGCAGCCAGTCGTAGCAACAGCTTTACAGTGAATACTCCTTTGCTGCCTTTGCTAACCACCACTGGATATCTTCCTTGCTTGCATCCAAGCCAACAATCTGCATTTTCTGCGCACACACACACAGAGACCAAAAAAAACAAAAAAACAAAAAAAGAGGCACCTTAAACTATTCCCAATCATTAAGTCTTTTTCTAAAGTGGAAGTTTGACCTTGTGTCAGAGATGCAATCTGCCAACAAACATCCCTTATTCCTGACCAACCAGAATTCCAAAAAAAAATAAAAAATCATTCACCATCTTTCAGTCCACACACTAATTTTTTTCATATTTTCCACGTTTAGGAGTGTAACATTCTTAAATTCTCCCCGCAAAGTTTCACTTCGGTCAGTACAAATATTTAGCTCTTAGTAGAACAAGGCACCAGTAAACTGTTCTATTGTTTGGAGATTATGCACATCGTGACCAAAGCAGCATTTCTAGAAATAGAAAATGTGCTATAGACAAAATTGGGATCAATAACATTCACAAATACATACTCAGCATCCTATTAACAGTCTAATCGGAGAGCAAGGCCTGAATTGAAAAGGTGATGCTATACAAAATTAGCACATAATACAAAATGAAATAAATGGCTCAATATTAAGATGCTGCTTTGAGTAGAACAAGGCACTGGTCAAATGTTCTTTTATTTAGAGGTTATGCACATATGTAACCAACCAAAGCAGCACTTCTGGAAAGAGAAAAATGAGCTCTGAACAAAATTTGGATAAAAGACATTCATGAATGCACACTCAGCAATCAGCATCATATTCACAGTCTAATCTGCAGAGAGCAAGGACTTAAACATAAAGAGAGCTCCTTCCCCAGCAATGATGCTAATGGTTAAGAAACAGTTAGGTGGATATCATTCAAGCCCTCTTAACAATCTCACTAGACACTTTTTGCTAAGCTCGAACCAATTACCAGACTTGTGAACTTAGGTTGAAATCAAACACCAAATAGTGCAGGACAGCCTACATGTAAAAAAAACTTAACGATTTGAAGATAGCTAAGAATTAGATCTTAATGTAAATCAACACTATCAGATAAATAATGTCCAATGTGTCCCTTGTGAAAAAGAAACACCATTTGAGTGACCTCAGTGTCAAGAAAGTACTCTAGCTTACTTCCTTGGTTCGAAAATGACTGACCAGATGATTCTTCAATTGGGTGATTTTCTCATAGTGATTACATGCGACTAAGTTATCAAATATATGCCCATGAGCTATGACAATAGAAAACTGTGTGGTCGCTTCATCATTTTTATGCCAATCAGAATCTGATCCTGACGTGTTTAATAATTAATATCAAGATGCAGTTGCTCGAAGGACAGTACCACAATTTTCCAGTTTTTCTTTTTTTATCAAGAGAATAAATTTCATTCATTCAGCATCCAGAAGATGCAAAAAGATAACAAAAAAGACAGCTTCTGTACAATGTCAGATGACTCCTAGGAAAAACTTAAGGAGCTTACAAAATCCAAAAGAGTGTCAATACTATTTACAATACATAGTCTGCTCCAAGCAAAAAGATTCATCAAAATTCTAGCCTTGAAAATGAATCGGAGTTGAAATTCCATGAGAACAGCATTGAGATCTTTCTTTCCAAATGAACCATATGACCACTGGAGGAACCATTTTCCACAGGCCGATGATGAATTTTCCAACTTTCCATTTTCCCCAAGCTTCAAAAGCTTCTTTCAGTACCACAATTGTCCAGTTTTACTAAGAAACTGGAGAGTATCATTTTGTAGGAACATCTTTAATTCACAGTTGCAGTTAGTGGTTGAGAAAGAAATTAAGACATATGATGATTTGTTTGCTTGAGGAAGGCTTACTTTTCGGTGGCACCAACAATGTTTGAATTATCATTGGCAACTCTGGTCTAATCCAAAATACACAACACGTCTTGAAAGCTCTGGAATTTACCAAAATTGTTGGTACAACAGACTGCGACAAGATTGCACAGAGTTGATCATCAAAAATTTGACATTGGCTTCAATGTTCTGCAAGACTATCCCTTTTCAAGATGACCAAGAGTCTCTGACCTAGGAATCAAGTTCAACAGAAGCTGGCGACTATTAGAAATGATCAGACCCAAATAGTGGGCAAGCAGCCCACAGACCCATGAGAAAGAGTTATCTGAGTTCAGTCTTAAAGAGACCTCCCAATGCACCAATTCTTAGAAGTGATACTATGATGATTGAACATGTTAAAAAGGGACGAGGTTGACTTAAATAACATGGAGAGTCTTGGAATCCATGTGGACAGAGCAAGAATAGAAAACAATGGAAGTAAAAAAAAATCCATATAAATGATACCAAATTGATTAAGGCTTAGTTTTTTTATTAAGGCTTAGTTGTTGTTTTGTCATTTGTGACATTTATTTTAGGTCTTGTGTCAGGGAGAAATTTTAGTTTGGTTAAAGAATTGTATATCAATATCGAAAAAAGTATCAATATTAGAGAACCTCTATTTTTAGAAAATGCTTATTGATTATTGAAACGAAACGGGCCCAAATGCCACATGTCTTCGTTTCATTCGTCACTTTGCCACATCATCCGTGTATGAATGAAATGCATTTTATTTTCTTGATTGGTTGTCATTGGAAGGTTTAATAGGGGTGTTCAATAGGAAACAACCTCGGTTGAGGTGTCTAAGTGAAAAGTTGTGGCAACTTTAAGGGGCCGTCTATCTATTATTTGG